TTTAACGTGTACCACCGGTGGTACACATGGCACGGAACGTGTTAACGAGCAGAAAATATCAGGCTCACTTGTACGTTCTTCGAGGTGGTCTGCGCGGACATGTTCAAGGTCAACACGCTGTATTTCTCCTTGTCCAGGGAGTTTAGCACTGTTTGAAGCATCGATGTCTTGCCTGTGCCTACGGGACCCAGTATAAGAACTGGGAATCGGTTGTTTAATAATGAGCTCACGATGTACTCGTAACGGACTGTGTCTACGGTTGGCACGACTATCTTGTAGAAGGGTGTCCTGTTATTTATTATATAATTGCTTTGTATTTATTTCATTTTATTTTAATCGAATTTTTCTTTTACTAGGAAATTAGATGTCGAGTTTTCCTTCTTATTCAGAAAAATAAGAGACAGCAGTAGAAACAGAAATTTATAGTATCGTTAGAGAGTCTCAGGATTGTTACTAAACTTGCTTCGAGCAAAATATAATAAATTGATTTCTATACATTTATATTAAAAAGCTAAAAGTGCAACATTCAGCGTACGAAATCTTATCCGATGGTGCATGTAAATAAAATTCATACACGTACAAGAATCTGTTATTCAATTTACGTTAAATTATTTGATTATTAAATATCATTAAATATTCAACTCACATGAAATTATTTTCAATTTACGGTTAATTTATTAAAGAATTAAATATCGAAAGTTCGACTTTGAATGTTGAGTTTCTGGAAAGACAGAAAGTATAAATACCTGAAGGCTCTCGATTTTAAATCAGTGAAATAAAAATTGTCTAGAGATACTTTGGCGGGATCTTCCATACTGGAGGCAGTCGTTCTTCCCAGGAAACGAACGATCGTATTCGAGAGTCTACGAAGTATTCGTACACAGTGTCTCGTATCGGGAACGTGCCCTCTATCTCTCGTATGAAATTGTCCATCTTGTATCTACTGTCTTCGTTGACCGACGCACAAATAGACCATATCAAACTAGCGAAGAATCGAAAACTCTATAAAACCCTGACATGTGAGATATTTTCTTTAAATTATACCAGAAGAAGAACCATATTCGGCAAATATTGGCGAACATGTCTACATCGCCGGTGAATTGAACCCCATTCTCAGGTGTGGCGAGCACTTCTAGAAGCTTGCACAGCGATTGTACGGCGTTTAATTCGGGAACCGGGACGAGATCCTCGCATTTCCGTCGTTTGAATTCCAAGGTAGCGTCCACGTGCGCGTTGAATAATTTTCTCATCTGTGGCGACAGTATTATTTACGATAACGTTCGATAATATTAATATCGCGATCGAAGATCGTGGTAAGATCGCGCGACGTACTTCCTCTACGAATTTTGGCTTTCCTTGGAACCCCTGCAGCCAGCTTTGTAGGTAAGGCCTCCAACCAAGGTCCTTGTAATCGTTGTACACCATCCCCGCCCGCGAAACTGACGCTGGAGAGGCGGCAGCGAGATCTTGGACCTCGAACAGCAGCAACACTTGCTTCGGCATAGTGATCCGGTCGTTATTTATGAGAGTCAAAACCTACGAGAGCAAGTTTACACATCAGAATCAAATTCTAGATTTTTAGATTTTTTTCATGCATTTATTATGAAATTCCGCGGAATACACGTAATTTGAGAAAATCCAAATTGTGCCGTGCTTTTTATAACGTTTAATATATAAAATAACTTTCTATCAAATTTCTGTAATTATGTTTTCAAAATTACGAATAATATTGCGAACACATTAGCCAGCCTACTAAATATCACGGAGAAATCAGAAGAGAAGAAAATTGAAGATCTAAGAGTACAGAATAAACGAGAGAGTTTCAAGGTTCAAAGAAAATAAACGGTGGTTGTGGATTTAAAATTTACGAATCCTTGAATGCAGAGTTTTTTTTTTAAAAAAAAGGGGATTAAGATTTTAAGAATTGACGATATTGTGACGACAGTCATTTACAATGTTCAATGCTTGTAACTAAGAAAAATTAATTTTATATAAAAAAAA